ATCCCTATATAGGGATGGCCAGTTAGCTCACTTGGGAGAGTGTGGTGTTGACAAGACCAAGTCTAGGGTTAAGATCGCCTTACCAGTCATCTTTAAAAAAAAAAAAAAGTCTTTAATTTTTTTAATTTATAAATTTCTCTCTTCCTGTCCTTTTCTTCCTTCCCTCCATCCTTCTTCTCTTCTCCCCCCCCCCCCACTTTTTGCCTAATCTTTGTTGAAGAAACTGGATCATTTGTCCTACAGGATGTCCTAATTTTGTTTCAATTGTTCCTCACTGCCCCCTTCACCTTTTCTATATACTTGTATGAGAGCTAGAGGCTTGATTAGATTTACTTTGGTAAAAGAATACTTCACAGGTAGTATTGTATGGTATTGAATCCCATTGTATCCTATTGTATCTCATCAAGAGCACAAAGTGTCTGTTCTCCTTTGGCGAGGCCAAGATTGATCAGCAGTGTCATCCTATTCCATCCATTTTAAGAAGCCCAATCAACTTTTTCCTTACTATTTTTGTTGGAAAAATGCAAAAATAATTTTCTCATAAGCCTGTTTTGTCCTTGAAGTAATATTTTGTCTTTGAAACAATATTTGCTTAACACTAGTCTGGCCTCTAATCACTACTTGCACTCTTTGCTTCTGTAACCCTGCCTACTTATCTGCGTAGACCACATGAATGCTGAGGAAAAAAAAAAAATGTAAAAACCCTGTCCGCTTATAAAAACTTTGTGAGACCTGAGCTGGGGGTCCACATTTTCAAGCATATAGCTTGTCTGAGCCCACTGACGTAATAAATACCTAGCTCTCCAACCTTCCACGTGTCGGTCGCTTCTTGCCGAGTCCTTTTCCACAAGTTTTAGTTGTCCTTTAGCAGTAATACATCATTTCCTGTATCCATTCCTTAGTTAATGGATGGAAAATAGTGGTTTTCAAATTCTATATTTCCCTCGGAAATTTTTAGTTGTGATTCTTTCATAAATAACTTCCCCCTCATTAGGAATTTGGTTACCTGTTCACACACAGGGGTACTTCAAAAATATTTATGGAAAAATGGAATCAAAAGATAATACAAATCTTTCCATGAACTTTCTGAAGTACCCTTGTAAAGACAGAGAACATCCTTCTTTCCTTATTTTATGAAAAAAAAATTTCACAATAATGAGTTGATTCCTAGTGAAGGTGACTTCAGTGAGGTATGTGCGTAGGAGTATCACATTCAAACATATTTGATGTGCTTCAAACCATTGCACTTATTCTTTTTGTTGATCAAAATGTCCCATCTTTCACCAGTGAGAGCCCCTTCAGATTGACTTCTGAGCCCTTTTGACTCGACCACAGTAGTACTGGAAGGCTTCCTTGCTTTCTGGCACAAGATACCCCGTACACATTTTGCACATTTCCTGCCCCAGACTTGGAATCGGCTGTTTTTCCAAGAATCCCTGGTTCCCACTGGCCAGAAATGGTACATAGAGACCACAGTCTGGACAATAGGATTGCTCACTGTTACTGGGTTGTCATTGTATTTAGACCTTTTCAGTAGAATTAGCTAGGGAACTATATGTTTTTTAGAAAGAGAAAAATCATGAGTTCATTGTGATATTTCCAATTCAAATCGAAGATTATAGGGTGTTTACTTCTTTGATTTTATATTTGTATCGTTTTTCATTTACACTAAAAATCTTGGTCACCAATGACATTAGAATAACTACTTATTTGCTTTTGTCTAATAGATAACTTCAAAAAATATAAGGTAGGGTCTCAAAAATTTAAACTATACATTTTTATCAAAATAAAAATATCAGTATTATTACTAACAATAAAACTATTGAATGAAGATTAAGATTTCATTGCAGTTCTTTTTCCAGTTGGATATATATATATATATAGTGTTAAGTGAAAATACCATGTTTTAACATCACTAGAAAGAATTCCTATCTGTCTGGCTGTGCCACTAACTTGATATATAGTTAGGTTCGTCTGTTGTTTGAAATTTTCAGGGATTTCTTCTTCTCATTTAAAAGAAAATTATGAAAAACTAGATGTCCCAAAGCTAAGAAACAATGTACATTCAGGTATGTTTGTCTCCCATCTGTCTCTTTCCCCTTATTCTCTCCTGTCTTGAACTATAAGAAAGTACGTTGCACACATCACCCTTAATATTTCAACACACATCCTCTAGGAACATGCTCCCACTTAACCACGATACCATTATCCCACCAAAAATTTAACAGATACAATATCAACTACACAAATTTCCCAGTTTCTTATATTCAAATTTCCCCAATTGTCCCCCAAATGTACTTTCAAACATTAAAAAAAAAAATTAAATCAAGATCCAAAATTGTATTTGGTTATGTCTCTTTTAATCTAAAATAGTCTACACCCTGCCCCCATTGACCTTTTGAAGAATGTGAACCAGTTGTTTTGTAAAAGGTCACAAGACCTGTTTTTCACTGTTTTTGGGATAGATTCCTAAAAGTGGAATTGTTTGGGCAAAGGGCAAACACACATGTGGTTTTGCTGGACATTATCCCGTAGATGTTGTTCCATATGGCATGTCCACTAAGGTATCAGAGTGGCTATTTTCCCATAGCCTTGCTAACAGAGTGAGCTGTCAAAATTTTGGGTTTCGGGCCGGCCTGGTGGCGCACTGCTACAGTGCGCTGCTTGGGAAGCGCGGCGGCGCTCCCGCCAAGGGTTCGGATCCCACATACAGACCGGCCGCTCACTGGCTGAGCGAGGTGCGGGAGCAACGCCAAGGCATGCGATCCCGTGGTCGGTCCTGGTCCGGTACGGGCGCGACACTGAGGGTTGCGTTCCGTTGCCGGTCACGAAAAAAGACAAAAAAAAAAAAAGAAAAAATTTTGGGTTTCCTTTTTGCCAGTCTGATAGCTAGGAAACATCAAACTGTGGTTTTAATTTGCTGTTCTCTTATTATGATCGACTTTGAGCATCTTTTCTGAGGACTGTCCATATATTTTGCCCATTTTTCTATGGACTTGGAATTTTCTTTCCCAGTGTGACACTACACAGACACACACAGATACCTTTATGGTGTAAGTTGCAAATATTTTTGCCCAATTTGTCATTTGATTTAATTTGCTCTTTTTTTTTTTTTGCCACACAAAAGTTTATTTTTTATGTAGTCAAATTTATCAATATTTCCCCTTATTGCATCTAGATTTTGAATCATATTTAGGGAAGTTTGCCTAACTTCTAGTTTATAAAGGAATTCGCCTTCATGGAGTTCACATTCTATATGAGGAAGACAAAAAATAAAACACATTGTATGTTAGAAGATAATTTGTGCTATGGAGAAAAATTAAGCAGGGAGGGTGGATATGGACTCCTGCATTTCGAATTCATTTGGGAAGTGGGAGCTGGGAACTGTGATGAGGAGGTGGGGGCCATGACCCAGCTGTGGGAGAGGGAACACTAAGGATTGTGCACAGGAAAGTAAATGTGTAAAGACTGGGAAAGAGTAGCCAGGGTAAGGGGAAAGTTGGGAGAGGAAGGGGGCTTTGGAGGCCAAGAGAAGAGTCGTGAGGAGGGAGGTGGATAGCAATGTTCAAGATCATAAAGATATCAAATCTCTCTAATTTGTAAACTTACTGCAACAACAATAAAACTACCATCTGTTTGTTTTTCTTTTGGATCCAGGCAAGCTAAATATACAGTTCACTTCATTAGGGAGAAAAAGTTAGCAAGAAGAGACAGGGAACCCTTAAAAAATGACAGCAAGAGGGCAACCAGTCATTTCAGATACTAAAGCATATCAGAAAGCCTTTTTAATTAAAACACTGTGGGAATGGCACATGCAGAGTTAGACACTAAATTTCCACATTTCATCAGTCTGGAGAGGACCCAGATACAGCCCAATGAAAGATGGAAATTTAGTGTATGAAAGGGTGGTATCTCAAACCAGTGGGTGAAGTTTTACTTAATAAATTGAAGAATAATCCACAGTGAAATGAACAGGCCTGAAGAATGCAGTTAAGTGAGTTCTGACAAATCTCTGCACCTGTGTAAGCCCCACTGATCTAAACATGTAACCCATTCTCATCACCCTAGGTTTCCTCGTCTACTCCTCTGTTAATCCCTGCCACCCACCCCTCCCTCAGAGGCAACTGCTGCTCTGACTGTGTATTATAGTAATTGCTATTGGGATATTCGTAAAATAAGACAAAATGGGATATATTTGCTAGGATAAATTCCAAATGGCTCTAATTTAAATGTAAAAAAGAAATTGTACAAAAACCAGAAGACAATCTCACTTCTTAGCACTGCCCCCCATGCCCTACACTGGCCTCCTCAATGGCCTGCCCTCACAGCACATTCCAACCCAGGGCCTTTTCACATGCCCTGGTCTCCACCTGTAAGCCCTTCCTCAGACACCCTTTTGGTTCCTGTTCACTGCCTTTAAGGAGTGTGACCTCTGCGGGGTAACCTCTATTTAAAAATCACACCTCCTTTGCTCTGCTTTATTTTCTCTGTAGCAGTTATTGTCCAACATACTATTTATCTGCTTATCTTGTCACTTGTCTGTCTCCCTGCCCTAGAACATCAACTCCCTGAAGGCAGTGACTTTTGTCCCTTGTGTTCAGTGCTGTATTTCCAGTGTGGAAGGGAGATGCTCAATCACTTTTTGCTGAGGGTGGAAGTGATGAAGGGAGTTTTAGGGGTACCTGGGTGGAGTCCAGAGTACCCTATTCTCTTGGCCTTGTAGGATGAAAGGACAGGGGGCCAGGGAATTGAGAGGAGCAGCAGAACAGCACGTGAGGGGAACTACAGGTGTGGGCGGAGACAATGGGCTGACAAGTCCTGGCCATGCTTTCTTCCAGATGTTTTACTGAGGAAGATGAGGTGTTGGGTGAACAAATATGAAGTTCTTGACTCCTTTGTGAGCCCCCTCTTCATCTGCACAGTTGCTGCAGGGCCCCCTGGGCCTGGACCCAGCGCAGCCGCCACTGGGGCAGGGACAGGCCCTGGCAGAGCTCTCCGGAGAGGGCGGCTTGGCCTGGCTGCTCCCACCTGGGGAAGGGCATGGGCTCAGAGGGAAGACCTATCCCTCTGACCCTCACTGTGCCTCCCCGCCCCCACCCCGCCAGCCTGCTACTTCTCCTCAGCCCCCGGGCCTGAGTCCTGACTTTTCCACCAGCTCAGTTCCCGACCCCCAAGTCCCCTTCTCACCAGTCCCCCACGATCCCCTGCAGCTCAGGAATTCGCTCCAGTGCCTGTCTCAGCAGGTTCTCCAGCTTTTTCAGAGCCTGCCCCAGATTCTCCTTCTGCTCCTTTTCCTGGGATGCATGGATCTGCAGCAGCTCTGGAGGTTAGAAACCCAGGAGGCAGCTTTGAGTTGTCCAGCTCACTGGTGCCTCACAGCCAATGGGTAATTAAGTCTCCAGTCACCTAGTCTTGACCTTAGCATCTCTCCCAAACCTGCTCCTCTTCCCAGGTCCTCATCTCAAGGGTAACCTCACCTCCTCCCAGGCTTCTTTTTGGATGCCTTCCTCCCTCCTCTTGAAAGCCCATCAATCTCCATGGCCCTTCCACTCGGCTTCCTGAGCATTTCTTCCTCCCCCTTCCCTACCCTCTCCCTCAGCCTCCCTCCTTGCCTCCAGGCTTTAGTCTCCTACTCTGGTATACCCTCATGGCAGCCAGAGTGATCTTCCTGAAGCCTAAACCTGATCCTCTCCCTCCCCTGCTTAGAACCCTCCAACGCTCCCTAGTGCCCTAAGGCAGAGCCCAACCTCCTCAGCTTGGTATTTGAGAATCTACATTATGTGGCCTCTGCTTACTATTTCTGGGAAAAACCTGACCTATCCCCAGGGCCCACATGAGACACCACCTTTCTTCCCCCAGGAAGCCTTTCCCAGCCTCAACCTTCCCCACCCCCTCACTCTAGCAGTGTTTCCCCCAGGACTGTGACTGGGTCTAGTCCCTCTTCATGTGCCCAGAACAGGGCCCAGCACAGAGCAAGTGCAGATTAGCAGCATGGTCAGACCTCTTGGGCCTGAATCCTGATTCCATCCCATCCTTGCCCTATGGCTTTGATCATGACACTTGCCCTTTCTTCAGGTTCGTCTGCTGTCAAGTGCAATTATCTGAGCCATACGCTAGTGGGATGGGGGGCAGATTGGGGAACTCTGGAGATGGAACCCACAAAGCTTGCTGACAGGTGGAAGGTGGGGGAAATTAGGGAGCTGGAATGAATTAAGGATGACTCCTGGGTTGCTGGCTGCAACCAGAGGGTGGTAGACTGAAGCAAGGAAACCAAGAAGAGGAACAAAATTCCTTTCTGGAGTAGAGGGAACCAAGAGTTCCATTACAGATATGTTAAAGTTCAAGATTCCCATACGGTGGGGAGATGTTGTGCCACATCCTTGACTGTTCCTGTTGTTCTTGTATACTGCTCCCTCCCCTTGAGGAGAGGGGAAGGCAGGGAGCCCTAAGCTAAAGGCCTGAAAATAGTCTCTTCCTCTTCTGCTGATGGCATTCCCAATTCACTTCTCATCAGTTCACCCTATCCACCTGTTTTTTTTTTTTTTTTTTTTTTTTTTTTTTTTTTTTTTCGTGACCAGCAACGGATCGCAACCCTCAGTGTCGCGCCCGCACCGGACCGGGACCGGCAATGGGATCGCAACCCTCGGTGCTGCCCCCGCTCCTCGCTCAGCCAGTGAGCGGCCGGTCTGCATGCAGGATCCGAACCCTCGGCGGGAGCACCGCCACGCTTCCCAAGCAGCGCACTGTAGCAGTGCACCACCGGGCCGGCCCTATCCACCTGTTTTTCCTTTGAGTCTTTGTTCTGTGCTTCCACCCTGGGGAAACCCCTGAGGCTGGACAGCTCTTTCCTCACTCCCCACCAAGCTATCTGGGCCAGCACCTGGTAGACACTCAGCCAGTGTTTGCTGAGTAAATCCATGAATGAACAACTGAGTTTCAGTTTCCTCTGAAAACTGAAACTATAAACTGGGGGTCCTAATTTCTTCCCTCATGGCAAAGTCTCAAAGAGACAGTGTGTGTGCACAGACAATTACTGCAATCACACGGGACACACAGAGTGCTTACTGCATGCCAGGCACTGTTCACTGCTCTGTTTGGGTCACTTGACTGAATCTTCCCAGCAACTCTGTGAGACACATATTATTATGCTCACTCCACTGAGGAGGAAACTAAGGCACTGGGAGATCACACAGCTAGGAAAGATAGGGCTGAGAAGAGAATCCAGGTAGCTTAACTCCATAGCTCAGCTTTTAACTACTGAAGTATACTATCTGATGGTAATGAATGAGTACTTGGCAATTTGGTATAGCTTGGTGGTTAGGAGCACAGACCCATGCCAGATGACCTGGGTTCAAATCCCAGATCTTCCATTTGGGCAAGCTACTAAGCCCTCTGCATCTCAGTTCTGTTCTCTGTAAAATAGGGAGGACAGAAGCACTTACCTCATAAGGTTGCTGTGCAGATTACACAAGGGAACGTGTTCAAAGTAGTTAGCACACAGTAAGCACTGTGTAAGTGATGGGTGTTGTTTATTACTTCCAGAGGCTAACGGTACTAAGAATGGGCAGGGATGCTGGATATGGGAAGCAGAGCAGGCCTACCCTGGGTAGATGGCACTGGTGGCAGGCTGGTCTTCATGTGGAGCAGATCCCAGCACCGGAGACTATGCTGGTCCTGGAGGAACAGAAGGTCCTGGCGAAGAGAGGCAGCTCTCGGGAGGAGCAGCTCTGGTGCCTGGAGGGGGAAGGACAGTCACCTCAGGCAGGGGTGGGGTAGGATGTGGGTGGGGAGACAAAGTCATAAAGGACAGGCACTCACCTTCCCTGCAGGCAGCCCCAGTGTGTGGCTCAGTGCTATGAGGATGGAGCCCCTTGGGGATGCAGGGTGCAGCTGGTGGATGGATGGTAAGACAATGGGCAGGGGCTTCAACCTGGGGGCAGGGAATCCAGGTTGGGTGGGGCACTGAGAGTAGGGCTTGGGTTTTAGAGGCTCTGGGGGCCCAGGAACTTGGAGATGGGTCTGGGGACTAGGATGCCAGACTGGGGCTGGTGACCTGAGGGTGAGTTCTGGTGATCTGGGTTACTTTTTTTGGAGGGAGTTTAGGGAATGACAGTCATCCATGGCAGGGCATCTGGTGGGTGGCCCCAGGCTCACTCTCCAGGGCTGTGCCGCAGTAGGGTGCCCAGCAGAAGGTGGGGCAGATGCTGGGCTTCTTCCTCCAAACAGCGAAGCAGCTCCTGGCTCTGTGGTGCCACTGCCTCAGATGTGGGGACCACCTTTCTCTGAACCAGAGCCAGCACCTGTGGGGAAGAGGGATAGGTGGGGCAGCCTCAGTCTACCCAGCCTCATACCTAAGAGATCCAGACTTACCCAGACCTCACCCCAACTCCTGTCTCACCTCCCCGGGGCTCCGGCACAGGCGGGTCTTGCTGGCTGAGTTTCCCTTGATGAGCAGGCGGATCTGTTCCTGTGTCTCCTCCTGGGGAACCAGGAGGCCACCAAGGCTAGCAGTTTTTCCTACCCACCTCTCAGCCTCTGTCCACCCCTTTGCACAGGTCTTGCTTCCTCCTGGGAGTCTCACCCTTGGCCCCTCCCTACCAGGAGGCCCAGTTCTTAATCCCGAGACTCTAAACCTCCACTCTGGCCTCTACCAGGCCCTGCCACTTCTTCCTGAGGCCCAGCCTCTCACCACCAGCTGGCGCCAGTGCAGGATCCGCTGCTGTTTGGCCTGTAGCTCCCTCAGCAGAAGCTGCCGATGCCCAGCTGCATCCTCCAGCTCCTGGCTCTGGGCACGCAGGGCTTTGAGCTCTGCCCACAGACCACAGACGCGAAGCCCCAGCATCAGTGCCTGCCTGGGGGACAAGCAGAAGAGGGCAATGGAGAGGGAGATGAGATCTGCAGGGATGCACAAGGAACCACAAACACAGGGAGACAAACTTTGAGGGAACTGAGGCAGAGATGGGCGCACAGGGGCAGAACAAGTCCAGTATCCCAAGACACCTGGGGGAGAGAAGGCCTATAGGCCTCTGCTGAGGGAGCCCCCTCACCTTTCGCTGGGTCCTAGGGTACATCTCTCCACCTCTCCCACCAGGCCCTGGAGGTGCTGGGTCAGTACTTGATGCTCTTTCAGAAGGGCACCCCGCTGGGTGACCAGTGCAGCCACAGCCCGCCAGCCCTCCTGGGGGTGGGTACAAAGTCAGGGTAGGCATGGTCCATAGGGGTGAGGGGACTGAGTGGGTTTTGGGATAGGAGGGGGGTGGGGTCCTGGGGAAGGTGCCTGGGGGTCACCTGGATGAGATGCACTGTGGACTGCAGGGCCTGGCCCGAGTCTGACTGGTCCGGTGCCTGGGGCCTGGGGTGGGGACACAGCTGTTGAGGGAGTAGCCTTGAATGCTTGCCTTGGGACTCGGGGTAGCCAATATCAGCTGGCCTACCACACTGGGCACTGGGCTTCAGTCCTACCCTCATCAGCAGGCCATGCCTGACCTTGACCCTGTTCCAGCTTTACCCACCCACCTGCCCTGACCTGACTGTAGGAAAACCCCATTCCGCACCTGGATATCTCCATATCTCTGAGCCTGTCCCCAGTGCACAGGGACCGAATCTCTGCCTCCCGTTCTGCAGCCAGGTGCTCCAGGGCAGCCAAGACGTGGCCTGGGGCATGGTTTGTCAGCAGTGTCTGATGGTGGGGGAGGGGTCAAATCAGGGCAGGATTGGGGCAGGGTGGCAAGCTGGGACCCCATAGGAATGGGGTAGGGATCAAGAGTTAGGTCTTGACACCCTGAGGCTTGCTTATGGGGCTGGGAGGTGTGGCCTTTGCTGAGAGTCCTGCTCCCTCACCTCCACTGAGCTAAGCCACTGCTGGTAGGATGTTCCAAAGTGGTCATCATGAGGGGTTCTGTGGGGTTGGGTAAGTGGACAGAGAATGTTACAAGATGCATCATTTATCCCTCTAATTATTACCACCATCCTATATGGTAGGGGCTGTCCCTGTCCCCATTTTATGGATAGGGAAATATCATTTATGCCTGTTAGACCTGAGTTCCCCAATTATACAAACGTGCTAGCCTTGGGGCCTTCCCATGTGCTATTTACTTGGGACACCTTCTTGGCCCTTTACCCTAGCTAAACCTCCTTACCAGAGAATCCCTCCCCTCCCTGCCTTCTTAGCTGGGTAAGGCACTTCCTCTGGGTACCCAGAGCCTCTCAGGCTTCCCCACTTCCCAACAGCCCTAACCACCTGGTTGTCCCTGTCTGTGATGGGTCTGTCTTCTCCTCTTCCCATCCTGGAAGCCCTGTCAGGCAGGTCTGGGACTGACATAGCCCAGAAACTGTGTCTGAGGAATTAATAAACAAGTGATCCCTCAAAGCCCGGGTTCTTTGCAGGGTCTCTGGGGGCTGGGGGACACTCACAGGACACTGCCTCCCTTGGCCTGGGGAATCAGGAGGTTCTGCAGGAACTGGGCTCGGAGGGTGCAGGCTGTTCGGATATCATGCTAGAGAGAAGAGAATGGGGATAAGGGGCACCCAGGCATCTGCCTGACCCCCAACTCTCCACCCGTTTTCCCATAGCCCAGGATTCTTACCAGAACCACAGGCTCGAGGCCCAGAGCTGCTGATGTCAGGGGTCCAAAGGTCACATCCACTTTGGCCTTCCTGGAGGGAGGAGTGCAGTTGGGGCTGGGGTCCCTGGGAGGAGGGAGCTGGGAGAATACGTTTGTGCTCTATCTGCTCCCACTGCCAGCAAGGCTAGTCACAGGGATCACTAAGCCTGAAACCCAGCAGCTACCTCCAAGATTAGACCACTGTCATCTCCCAGCTGGACTATTGCATTAGCCTTCTCACTGGTCTCCCCCCTACAGTCTGCTCTCCACCCAGTATTCAATGATCCTATTAAAACTTAAGGAAGATCATGTCACTTCTCAAGCCCTCCAAAACAATATGATGTTTTCCCATCACATTCCAAAGAATAACAGTGGTTAACAGGCACTCTTCTAAGCACTTTACATGATTTAACTCACGTAATTATCACACCTATCCTATAAAGTTGGTATTAATATCAATATCAATAGCATTATCCCCATTCTATAGATCTTAGATACTGAGACACAAAGAAGTTAAATACTTTGCCTAAGGTCACACAGTTGGAATCGACCAAGCCAGGGCATGAACCCAGTCTCAGAGTAAAATTCCAATGTCCCTATGGTGCTGTCCACCTCTCCAGCCTCAACTCCTCATGTTTTCCCTCTTGCCTACAAAACTTGAGCTGACCTGACCTCCTGGCTATTCTTGCTGCATGCTAAGTTCAGGGCCTCTACTCTTGCCATTTCCTCTCCATAAAAATTCTTCCCCCAAGTCAAATGTTACCTATTCAGGGAGGCCTTCCCTGACCAGCCTAGCTAAAGTGCCATCCCTCTCTCCCTTTCTAGCATATCACCTTTTCTTCACAGCACTTATTTCTACCTGAAATTATAAGATCTGTTCGTTTCCTAGTTTGTGATCTGTTTTCTCTGCATTAGAGTGTAAGCTCCAGGAGGGCAGGGACTTGTTCTTTGTTTACTGTAGTTTCCCCAGAGCTGGTGTTCTAGATATACAATTGGTACCATTCTAGGCACTGGAAATAGGGGTGACTGAGATGGCTGGCCTCATGGACCTCAAACCTTACGGGTGGGGCCTCAGAATTCTGGAACCCTAGAAAGGATCAGGCAGAGCACTGGGGTCTCTAAGGAGAAGGATGGCCACCCAGCCTGGTGAGAGCTGGTCCCTGAGTACCTGAGGCTCACCTCTCTATGTCTTGCAGGTGCCTGAGCTGATTCTGCAGCCGCTGCATGGGATCTTGGAGCCCACGCTGCTGTCTTCGCATCGCCCCAGCTCGGGCCCGGAGGAGGAGGGCCCGATGCTGGGTGTCTCTCATGCTCTGCAGTGCCTGCTCCACGGCCATGTCTGTGGGAGGAACAGTCGTGTCCATCAGCACCTTCCTCACCCCTCACTCCACTGCCCATCTTCCCGGCCCCATGGGTCACCCTGAGCCTCAGTCTCTTGCTCCATCAGCTCCAGGCTCTGGTCTAACTCCTGGATCTCTGCCCGCAGGCGGGCCACGGCAGCTTCTAGCTCCAACTTCCGACGGACCTGGTGGGATCAGGTATAGGGTCAGATGCATGGTCTGATTGGGGCTTAGCCTGGCCTGACTGCCTTTTAGGGGGCACCAGGATCTTCACCTGCTGAGGGGTGATGGAGTTTTTTCTAAGCAGTTTCTATCTCTGACACAGAAGCACTAAGGTACTATCCTGGCTCCCTCCTTCCTCCTGGCATTGCCTCACCTACCCTCCCAGCCTTTTTCCTGTCTGCAGTGGTGACACTCATATCTCTGTTCCAGTCCTGATTTCTTCCCTAAGCCCCACATCTAGGAACCCAGAGGCCTCCTAGGCCTCCTAGAAGCCTCCCCCAAATGTCATCTGGGCCCCTTGCACCTACTGGGTCCCATACTGGCCTCAGCATCTCTCCCTAACTTGTCCCTTCTCCCATCTCCCTTCACCAGCATTGGTGCAGCATATCCATGTCCCCCTTCCCCCTCCTCTCCAGCTCATGCCCATCTCCCCTGGACTGTAAGCCCTGTGAGGGGAGGGATCAGGGCTGTCTTGTGACCTAGTGCCCCCAGCATCAGGCTGGGACTACAGCAGAAGATCTACAAGTTCTTTTTTGGATGAAAGAGAATCTTGTAGCATATGCTTCTCACCTCTGGACTGTCCTGGTGGCCATACCTGAGGAAATGAGACCACAGTCAGGAGGTGACTGGGGCTTCCAGGGGGAAGGGCAGAAAGTGTGAGGCTGTGGGTGGGGACAGGGCTAGATAAAACTGGGGAAGATAGGAGGGTTAGCTTTGAAAATGTTACCAGAGAAGGTTTCCCCGGATCTTCTTGACACTCCTACAGTGGAGAGGTAGAAGGAAGGGTAGTTATTGTGGGATTTGCCTATGCCTCCTCCCCTGCCCCAGACTGGCTCACCTCTGACTGTGAACATGCTTCAAGATGTAGGTCCAGATATCAGCCCCCTGGCCCAGACACAGCCTGTGGGGACAACATGTAAAGGTATGTCTGGGCCACCACGCGGGATGGGGGATCTTCATTCCCAGGGTGAGGGTAATAAGGAACGTCTTTACTAGGAGTTCTCATTTCTGGGGAGGAAGGCCCCTACTTTTGGGGGTCAGATATTTCCTCCTGGGGAGTTCTGAGTTACTGAGAGGGTGGGTTTCTCACTAAGTGTAGGGGTATTCTCATCGCCTGGTGGGATGCTTTCTCCTGGGAGAGGGTTATCTCTAGTCATTCCAGAGGTGGGGGTTGGGGGTGGACTGCCAGGAAGTGCTCTCTCATGACCAGACGTGGGTCATCACTCCTACGCATTCAGTCCCCAAGGGGGTGGTCATTGCTAACTCCCGAGTGTCCTAACTGGCTAAGGTGGGGGTGAGGTGGTGAGGTGCTGCAGGGACAGCCTTACTCTGGAGATCCTACTTCCACATGGGGAGGTGTCTTCACTAACTCATGGAGGATCCTCACTGGTGCCAGGGATCTTACTCCGGGGGGCCTCACAGGATGGGGGTGAGAGTGGGAGTGTGGGGATCACCACCAGGGCGTCCTCACTCAAATCCAGGATCTTTTTCCTGAACATACTACTCATAGGGTGGGGGGGCCTCAGTAACTCGGGTCATTCTCAGTGGAGGACGGGTAGTCAAGTCCTCAATGAGGGGTGGGGTTCTCACTCCCGGAGACTATCTCCAGGGTGGGGAGTCCTCAGTCCCGGAGAGGCCCTCACCTGCGCAGCGTCACTTCCGGGGCCCGGGCCGCCGCAGGCGCTCCCATCTCTTCGGCCGCCCAGCAACCCACTTCCCGCGCTTTACACACCAGCTCCATGACAGTACCGAAGGCGCAGCCGTCGCCTCCCGCACCGTGTTCAAGTGTGGCGCCCGCCTCTGACGTCACGAGCGCGCCAGCAGTGACGTCATCTGTTGCCCGGCAGACCGCGGGCCCAGGTGCTGCGCGGTGTCGGAGCGGACCTGCAGTCTTGTAGCTGTCACTCCGGGATGGGTCCCCTTGAGTGAAGATGTAAAGGGCGTGGAGAGACGGTGGCGCCGCTCACCTTCCGTTGTCCTCCCGCTTACTACCGGCTGTCCTGCAAGAGGCAAAAAGTCCTTAATGCCTCCCTTTATTATTATTATTATTATTTTTAACAAACTGGGGCTTGCATCCTAGGAGGACGAGAACCAGGTGAGGGGAAGCCGAAGTTAAAGCTCCTTGATTTCAGAAACAGGGTGTCTTATGTCTGGGTGGAGGGTAGAGAGCAAATAGCATTACCCTAATATATCCCTGGCATGCATTCTTCCAGGTATTCATTCTTGCTTATCATTCCATAAACATTCATGGAGCTGACCCTGTGCTGGGGACACCGCAGTGACCGAGACAGCCCCGGTCCCCATTATACGGCGCTTACAGTTCAATTGAGTTTAGCAATAGCTTCATTCCTGGGATGAATCCCATTTGATCGTGGTGAATGATCTTTTTAATGTGTTGTTGGATTCTGTTTACTAGTTTTTTTGTTGAGGATCTTCGCATTATATTAATTAGGGATATTGGTCTGCAGTTTTCTTTTTTTGCTGTTGTTGTACCTTTTTCCAGTTTTGATATGAGGGTAATGCTGTCCTTGTAGAATGAGTTTGTAAGTATTCCCTCCTCTTCAATTTTTTGGAAGAGTTTGAAAAGAAGAGGTATTAGTTCTTTAAATGTTTGGTAGAATTCTGCAGTGAAGCTATCTGGTCCTGGGGTTTTCTTTGTTGGGAGACTTCTTATTATTGCTTCAGTCTCATTACTTGGTCTGTTTAGGTTTTCTAGTTTTTCGTGATTCAACCTTGGTAAGTTGTATGTGTCCGGGAATTTATCCATTTCTTCTAGGTTTTCCAGTCTGTTCACATGTAGTTGTTCATAGTCGTCTCATGAGCCTTCCGCATTTCTGTGGTATCAGTTGTAATGTCTCATTTTTCATTTCTTTCTTTCTTTTTTTTTTTTTTTTAAAGATGACCGGTAAGGGGATCTCAACCCTTG